AGGTTTTGCTATGTAGCATTGGAAAAGTCTACCAATGCTCTTGTCCAAGAACTCATCAAACTTAGTGCTGGTACAAATTCTCTGCTATCCCTTCTTACAAGCCCAAGGCAATGGAACTACATTTTACCTAAAAATTGAAGCATGAAACTCATTCTCTGCCCCCTGTTGTTCTTTTCATATTATTGTATCTATATCAGAAATTATATACTGCAGGTTTTCCCTGCTGGTAGTCTTAAATGAATTTTCAGCTGATATGAACGAACTGAAAGTACCATATTTATTTGTCACTAACTGTGAGGATATCACATTTCAAAGTGTCTAATATTTTAATGTTTGCCAAATAAGAAAGATGTTATTTATTGAATATGATGTTTACATCAAAAAAGCAGCAGTACTGACTAGCAAACAAGGGAAGGAGAAGCAACACATGCTCAAATTTTATGTTAAATTTTAAAAGGCTGTAGTATGCATATCCCTAATACTGCTTCAGGCAACTGTTTTATCTCAACTAGTTATGCTTTCATAAGCAAGAAGGAATTCAAGCAGATGACATCTTTTAACATTCTAAATATGGATATTTTAGATTTTATAAAACATGGTGGCTCCTAGTGTTCAGCAAAAAAGAACAGGAATCCCTTGGAGATTCACCATAGAAAGGTTAGAAGTAGTATTCAGTGTTGACCCTATTTTTAATCAAAGTGTATCCTATTCAAGTGAAACATCTAGAATATTGCACATCTTTATATAGCATTGATCTGAAAGATAGTATTATAGTATTTTGTTACCTCTGGTAGAATAATCCATCATTTAAATTCTACAAGAATCTAGTTCACAAACTCATGTTGTATGGTGGTTAATTTTATTCTGATAGTTCAACATGAATAAAAAAAATGGTTATGTTGATAAAATCACAGCATTTAATAATAATAATAATAGTAAAGTTGGAAGGGACCTTGGAGGTCATCTAGTCCAACCTCCTGCTCAGGCAGGAAAACCTATACCATTTCGGACAAATGGCTGTTCAGTCTCTTCTTAAAAACCTCCAGTGTTGGAGCATTCACCGCTTCTGGAGGCAGGTTGTTCCACTGATTAATTGTTCTAACTGTCAGAAAGTTTATCCTTAGTTCTAGGTTGCTTCTCTCCTTGCTTAGTTTCCACCTGTTGCTTCTTGTCCTGCCTCCAGGCGCCTTGGAAAATAGCTTGACACCCTCTTCTTTGTGGCAGCCCCTGAGATATTGGAACACTGCTATCATGTCCCCCCTCGTCCTTCTCTTCGTTAAACTAGACATACCCAGTTCCAGCAACCGTTCCTTATACTGTATGCTTTAGCCGCCAGTCTCCTAATCATCTTTGTTGCTCTTCTCTGTATTCTTTCTAGAGTCTCAACATCTTTTTTTCTTTTTTCACAATCTGAATGCAAACACCTTTCTCCCAGGCATAATATAAAGGCTAGGCCATGTATTCTCATTAAAGTTATTCCATAATATTATCTTTGCATAACACTAAAGCAGGAGTGTCAAACTGCTGGCCCGTGGGCCAGATGCATCATGCCGAAACCGCGCCCATCCCAGCTCCGGCAATGGGGAAAAAGTTGTGACATGTCGCGACACGTCACGTGGTATTGCAAGTTTGACACCCCTGCACTAAAGGGTCCTATGAGCTGAGTTCGAGTCCTATTGATATAGACATTTCAGCACAGTTTTCTTAATAACAAGAAAATATACATCCCTATGCGTACTTTGAGAAGGACAAAAGCAAATAAAAATAGATATTGTTCCATATTTTGTACTTTAAATGCTTTGATTTTACTATCTAATTTGTTACTTTGTATAATGTGTATTACCTAAAGAGTTTATATAACAGTTGCTTATGTAAGTTTTAATGATTGATTGAAAGGTAGTTGGTTTAAAAAAGCAGTAATTTTCTTATAATATCTGCCTTATAAACATGTCCAGTTTTCAATTATGTAAGCTCATTTAGCCACCCAGCTTCTAAAGCATCACACACAGCAAAGTGAGAATCTTATTTAGCAGTTGGACAACTGATAGATCTAAAGACCAACAGAAAGTTAAGCCAAATAATTTAAATATTAACATCTGCCACACTTATAAGAGGAAAACTTAGTTTTCTATGTCCTCTAAGCACTCAATTTATCAGTGACCCCATCAAAACCAAGCCAGATCATAAGCAAAGAATCAACTCTAATTGGACTATACTGCTGCTGCCTGAAATAGATGATTAGTATCCTACTTACTAACAGATTCATTTTTGAACAGCTATTTTAATATTGCTAGTGTTATTAAGAATTAAACACCGTCAGCATTACTGCAGCTTTTGTTGTTACTCCTATATGTATTTATAATGATCACTAGTCATCACCACATATAAATATCAAGGTCAAACTGCATGGCAAATTGCAACCAGAGAGCTGACGAAGCTGATTCAGTCTGCATTCAATTCACAGTTGCATCAGATCTTGTGCCAAAATGCTAATAAAATTAGGCTATTTGGAGAAACCTTGTTTTGTACACACTGCCACTACTGTCATGAGTCTTGGAAAGCCCTCTTCCTGTCAACACAATCAAAGATGAAGTCCTGTTCCAAATGAACAAACTGCATTTTGTAAGCACCAAGCTCAAGAGCGTTGAGCATTTAAATATGCTGGAAAAGACTTGAGTCCCTTGCATATTATAACTTGTATCCTTTTCAGTGAGGCAACTAATGCTGCAGTTTTTGAGGTTTGGATTTTGTTTAGAAAATTATTTGGTCTGATGCAATAAAATAGTACTATGGAGGATTAACAATTGTACAAGCACTGTTCATAAATAAAGACAACATATTATCTTTGTATGGATTCATGCAACATATATTACAATTGAATTACACATCCAAAGCCTAAAATCAATGCCAGAATGCCAGAAGTGGCTTTACAGATACATAAATATTTATTTGAAAAGAGCATCATTGGAATGTAAAAGAGGTCTAATACAGTTAGATTGTTAAACTTTTCTTCTTATGGGAACTTCCCTAAGTAACACTACCCCCATATAGCATCTAATTTATCTTAATTCAATTATTAAGTATTTTGCCATTAAATATACAGATCAGTTAAGAAAGACCAAATGCCACAATGATTAGATGGAAATTCATATAATTTATCCAAAAATTAAGCTTCTAAGCATACTCTCCTTTTGAACATTATAAACTTTAAAATGTTTAGAACTTTCTGGATCAAATAAAACATAACTTGATTTAACACAGATTTTCCAGACTTAAAACTCTTTTCAGAAACACTTCCTTATCATGAAAAGCAACTCCACCACTTCACTCAAAACTTCAAACGAAATATTAGAAAATCTTTTCTGATGGCAGTTCTAGATCTGATTCTTTATCTTATTTCCTTTCTTCTTGACCCATTTCCCTTCTCTTTATCTCTTTATACCCTCCTTTGAAAATTTATTTGCAAATAAATCTAATACAGCTCAGTTTGTTATTTTCAGACAAGTGTGCATAGAATCGTAGTTAGTACTTATAGACAGCAAGCCTAATCATATTTAGTTGAAAGTATCACTAGGCTCAGTGACAATTACATCTGAATAAATCTAATTAGGACTCATACTAATTACTTTTCCTTTAAATTAAAACCAAATTTCCTCAGCCTAAAAGAGAACCAGTTTAGTGGTTAAGGTGTTGAATTAAGAGCAGGAAGACCAAGGTTGTAACCAAGTTCAGCCATAGAAATTCACAGGTACCCTCTCTCAGCCCAACCTATCTCATAGTGCTGCTGTTGTAGGATAAATAGGATCACTGCACATGCTCCTTTGAACTGCTGTACAAAAATGGGATATAAATATGCATTTCTCATTGTTTTTATATGAAAACAAATTAGATTATAATCAACAAGGCCAAATTACATATGACCAAAACTTTAACATTGGTCTTTCCCATTCAAATGCAAAACAGCAAGTAGAAAGGCAATTTAAGACACCAAGGAACAAGTTAGGAGAAAGTACAGCTGTCTTCAGTACCAAGATCACACACTAAACTGATTTCCAGTGCTTCCACTACCAACACCACAGTTCAAACAACAGTGTTACTGGAAGGGGACAGGGCACAAATGCTGGAATACAAATATGTGAGAGTAGCTTCAGGATACTCTCCTCATCTGTGCTCTGTCACACCATCCAAGCTTGCTGCTATACTTGCAATCTGCTCCTCAAAGGAGCAGATCCTTCTTTGAAAGTACAAGACTGAGAGTCTAAGGTTTAGACATTTGTTTGTAGAATCAAAACTGGTACTCAAAATCCTACTTATTAATCTGATATATTAAGTAGAATTTTTACACAAAGCCTTAAGTACAGTGATAGAAGATATGTGGAATAAATCACATATAAAACAATCAAACTAATAAAAATACCAAGCACTTCAACATCAAATATTCTGAACCCAATCAATGATGATTTTGAGAAAGCGTTTCTTCTTCTTTTATAGTTATCTCCAAAACCTATGGCTTCTAAAGTACTGTAATAGGCACATTCAGTTGTCCTGACAATGATGAAGCTTGTGGCGCCTCTAAAACTAACAGCCTGATCAAGATGTGTCAAAGAGCTAGAGTCCACACTGTTAGCTGTGCAAAGATATGCCAATGGTGAAATGTTGAAAAGAATCGAAAGCAAGGGATCCGTGGACAAATACTACAATAACACCACATTGTTAAAATCATATAACAGCTGTTCTGGAGTTCTCTCTACCCTTATTAGTCCTACATGCAGAATACAAATAACCTGAATTTATTAACTACCATACACTTTTGCACCTTCCCTCTGAAACAAGTATATTTTGCTGCCAAACTAATTTTATTAGGTCTTCACGAACAGTTTGCAAAGTACTTTTCTGCAGGAGTTGAGGCTGCTTTGAGAACTCAGTCCTGAACGAAGCCTGAGAAATGCACCCTGGCAAGGGAAGAAGAAAAAAAAAAAAGGGGGGGGGTCTTCCATTACCTGAATGAAGCCCCACATAGGATGGAGCATCCAGTGAAGCAGCAAAGGAGGCCAGCAGCACTGAAGGAAGAGCAAGGCTTCTCGGATTAGCATCGTGGTGGGTCTGGAGGAAATGGGAGCTCCTTCTCACAATCTGGGTACCTGGAGAAAGAAATCGGATAGCCACAGTGCTTTACTGAACCCAGTTCCCACCATACATGGTCCCTCTGCCCGCTTCCTTCCCCCCACACATAACAAGTGCAAATTGAAGAGGGAGTAAGTAGCCTGTTTTTCCATATAAAGTATTGGTCAAAGCACTCCTCTAACTTCATAGGTTTGGGGAGGATAAAATATAAAAAGAAACAGGATAAACATATATGGCTTTAGAAGAGACACACTTCAGTCAAAATGAAACTTCCCATTAGCTAGGCACATTTCATCTCGGGCAAGCGGTGCATTATTATAAATAAAACTATATATAGCGCCAACAGGACCTTCCTTCCACCCCGCCCCGGGTTTAGGGTAGTTGGCGAGTAACGAAATCCCCAAGGAATCAGAAGAGAGTTGGTGGTGCCGACGGGGGGGGGGCGCGGGGGGAGACGCCATCTATTCAGCCAAGACGAAACCCAGATTTCGGTTTCTCCCGCGGCGGCAGCAGCTGTTCACACGTCCTCAAACTAATAAATGACATTTCAGAAAATCCCCTTACCCTGGAGGGCGGAACGGGCCCGCGTCTCGACAGGAGGAGGCCGTTGCTGCGCTTCCTTTTACATCGTGGAGCAGAACTGCTGTCGGTGGAAGCGGAGGGAAAGGCAGCTTCCAAAGAAAAGTTTTGCGGGAAAACCTGCTCTTTTCCGCACGGCAGATCCGCCCGAAGTTCCCCTTTTGCTGCTGCCGCTCCACCACCACCACCTAGCGCCGACACAGTCCGCTCACGGAGGGGGGGGAGGGGGAAAACTCTTTTTCTCGGAAGAGAGGAGGGTCCCCCCCCCTCCCACGAAACGCGTGGCTGTGATGTTGATGGAGAGCCGGTCTTCTCCTACGTGGCTCTGAGGCGATGAGGGGGGGGGGCAGAAAAGCGGGAGGAATCCGAAGGTTCCTGGCGGCTGGAGGCAGGGCAACACACCAGATCCCAGATCCCAGATTCGCTGTTTTCTTTTTCTTTTTCCTTCTCTTTGCAAGGACTCCCGAGCAATGGGTATTCGTGGGGGGGGGGGGGGAGAGAGAAAGGAGGGGGTATCACGGAAGGCGCCTGGTGAAAATCAACCCCCCCCCCCCCGACCGCGGAAAGAAAGAGCGAAGAAGCGCTCCGGCTCTCTTGCCTCTCTTAAGTAGTGGGGATTGTTTGCACCACTCTAGTAGCAGAGCTCGCCGTCTCGGCTCCTCAGACTGTCCGTCATCCGGCAACGCCTGGAGGCAGCGGCCGGAGAGAGGGAGCTCACGGGATGAGCTGGGGAGGAGGACCCCTCGGCTGGAGAGGAGCAGAGGCGCCGGCCCATCGGGAGGGAGAGAGGGAGGGCGGGCGGGCGGAGGAGGAGTGGAAAGGAGGCTGCGAGCGAAGCCGGAGGTTTCCCGTCTCCCCTGCCTGCGACTTGAATCACTCCCGTATCTGGTGCGCCGCCGGGTCTGCAGTGATTTTTCATAGCTAGCGAGCAAGTCAGTTGTGGACTTGGCACTTGGCTCGGCTGAGCGTGTCGCTTTTGACTTCGTGCGCGCGTCTTGCTGCCGTCCGGGAATGAAAGCAAACCCCAAAGCTCAAAACTAAAAACACCTCCGCGCTGCTTCTCAGAGAGCTCTCCGGGCACACGCACACGACCCGCACACACACACCCCCTTTCCTTGCACGCTACTGGGGGCAATTCATAAGCTACTAGAGCCCCGGAGGCCAGGTGGCGCTCTCGAAGGAAAAGCTGCGCCTGGGTGGTGGGTAGTCGGGTTCAGTACCGAAGAACGTACAACTCTCAGGATCTGGGATATGGGCTTGCGCTTCAACTACCCTCTAATCCTAAACTAGTGTTTCTCAACCTTGACAATTTTAAGGCATGTGGACTTCAACTCCCAGAATTCCACAGGGAGTTGAAGTCCACATGCCTTAAAATTGTCAAGGTTGAGAAACACTGATTTTCTGTGGTCAAAACTAGTCGTTATTTATGGCTCTTCCAAAGTTGGAATACGTTCCCCAATAGCCCTGACCTTCTAAAAATGGATAAACAATAACCAAATCCTATCCTATCCCTAAACATACTTAATTGCATCTTCCTGTGATGGTATACTGCACCTGTTCCTGGAGGTTCTGTTTAGCTGTTGGGTCGTGTGATATTTTTTCTCTTTTTTTTTTGCCATCACACATTTACTGCAGTAGTCGGGTTTGATAGGGAGAGAGGGGATGCATTCGGGACAGTGAGACCAAAGAAAAGTCAGTTGTGATTTTATAGAGAAGGAGAGTCAGGCAACAGAAAAGATGGCATAGTAGACAGGCTATGAAATGCAGTTTCCCAAAGCTGTATTTATTATCCAACCTTTTCTCTTTCTGGAAAGAAGGCTGACTTTCTTTTCAATCAAGATTTTTGAAAAAATATTCCAGTAATAATTTTTATTATCGCTTTTTGATTACTTGCATTCTGTTTTAGTCTGTTGCTACTTTAAATGGCCTAGAATAGAAATTAGAAATAATAATATATAATCTGTACACATAAAGAAAAACAGCTTCAACAGATGGGGCACCTGTCTGAGCTTGGGTAGCAGTCTAATGGGAGACTGGGCCTATAGACTAGCCAGGAAGTTTTAAAAAATTCAGGAAGAAGCTAATGGCAAACCACATCAATCCTCTTATCAAAATAGCAGCAGGGCCATGAAGTCACTAGAAGTCAGGCTCACCTTCGTATTGCCTGAAATGGAGGATCTCTGAGCAATATGCAATCAAATGGCTAATATGTCTGATTCCTGGCTGCAGATAACCCAAGACACTTTTACTGCCAAAAGCAAAACAAAATATAACACTCTTACCTTTCATGCGCAGAACCTGATCACATTGGCAGGTCTCTGACTTCCAGCACTGGCAACACAATGCCCTAATATCCTCCATGACACGTGGGGGCAGTAAGCTCTCATAGACAACTCTATCTTCCTTCATTTACCCAATATTCTTTACCCTTCAACATCAGTCTCGCTCTGTTCAGTGGCTGGGCTTTTCCTAACCAATTAATAAAAGTAATATTACTATGGCTGATGTCCTCAATTATGCTAAATAAATGCCTCATCTCCTTACTTAAATTAAGGAGGATGCTTCTGATTGCCCCAATTCTTTCTACCACTCCCTACCTTCTTTTGCAGCTGTCCTCATTTCTATTAAATGCTTATTTTAGAGGGACATTGCTGAAAGATTGCGAAGTAGCTGCTTGCCTGAGAATTATAGAAATGTACTGCTTTTCATACACCATGGATTGGTAGATTTAAACTAGAGGCTGTCATTAGACAGTCTCTTAAACCCACTTAATACTACTGGTTGACAATGGAGATAAACAAATCACAAGGAGATAGGAGCAGTGGTATTCCTGACTCAGGTTGTACCAGCCTGTGAGAGCCACTTGTTCATTTTTGGGGAATTTTGTGAGTGACTGAAAGTGGAGCTAATGTGCCACCCCTAGTGCACCAATCAGTTATTCTGTGGCATGTGTGTCAACAGTATGTAAACAATCATGCTAATTGAACCAGTTCTTAAATAGTTACCAGCATACCACTGGATTGGAGGGTTGTGAGTAAGGAGGATTGTAGCTTGACCATCCTTGAATTAGATTCTGAATACAGAATACAGCAGATTCCCACACTCTTTTAGGTGAGAGAATTGAGCCCAAACTATCTGAAGCAGAAATTTTTTTTTTCCTCTGGATCACATAGCAAGTTACATAAAGATTGCAAATATTTTGACTATCACATATGACTGTACTGGAAAATATTTCATTTCTGATGGAAACATAGTAAAATGGAGTCATTGAAGACCCCACCTTAATCACAAATCAACCCCAAAGCTTACTGGTCCTTTATTATCTCATTACAACATCTAAAAAGATCAAACATCTCAGAACTTTTATCTTCAAGAATTGAATTAGCACTTCATGGAAATAATTTCAAAAGCACAAGGACTTGTAATGACAATAAACTGTGATTTCCCCATAATATAATTTAGTTTTCCCCACCAGTTCCTTCCAGAAGCTTTGGACCATAGGTTCCATCTTCTCTGCAGCCAACCTGCAAGTTTCACACTGTAGGCCAGAAACCAATCACAGGCAGAACTCTGGGACATCGAAGGATAAGATGGTCTGTTGTGCGTTGGTGTGAACTATATGCTCACCTATTGCCTGCCTTTCTGGAGAGGATAAAATGTGGCAAATCCTAGGCTCAGCTGTCTAAAGAACAACCTAGTCCAAAATGTGCAACATGTTCCCCTTTCCTTCTTCCTAGGGACAGCCAAGGTGGGGCATGGGGATAACGACTCTCCTTGAGTGAAAAAAGAAGGCTTTCTTTGACATCTGAGTAAAAGAGTAGCTTTAGACAGCTAATTGTGGGCATTATGAAACAGCAGCATTATTTTTGGTTGCCCAATTTATTATTGTCATTTGACTGCTTGGGATGGGGCAGATTGCTCCTCAGACCAGGTGGATTTGAGGAGAAGGGACCTTGGAGCAGTGAGCTCTTTGCTACTCTACTT